GCTGCTCTCTGGCACCGCCGGGTACCTGGTTCTCCGGACACCCTCCGGAGATTTAATAGGAGGTTTTTCTTGCCCTGGAAACCTCCGTTTTCGGCCAAAAAACGCTTGGGCTTTCTCCGCGGAAAAAGCCCTCGCCTGCGAGAGGATCCCGTGCTCCACCGGAATTTTTTTGTTGCTTTTAACCTCTCTAGCAAGCCTGAGTTCATTCTGTGCTTTAGCTTTTCTGACTTTGTGTCTACACGTGCTGGCTATTTGTTTGAATTCCTCTTTGGTGGTTTCCCCCCTTTTCCATTTTTTGTACACATCCTTTTTAATCTTAACTCAGTTAAAAGTTCTTTAGATAGCCACCCTGGCTTCCTTAGGCACCTTCCATGTTTCCGTCTCATTGGTATTGCCTGAAGTTGTGCTTTTACTATCTCCCTCTTAACAAACTCCCAGCCATCATGAACTCCCTTTCCTTTTAGTATTACTGTCCATGGGATCTCACCCAGCACTTCCCTAAGTTTTATGAAGTCGGCTTTCTTAAAGTCAAGAAATTGAGTCCTAGTATGCTTGGCTGCTCCTTTCCGCTGTATAGTAAACTTCAGAAGAGCATGATCACTCGCGCCTAATGATCCTTCCACTTCTACCCCACTAACCAGGTCCTCAACATTGGTTAGGACCAGATCTAAAATGGCTGTTCCTCTTGTTGCTTCTCCCACTTTCTGGACAATGAAGTTGTCTGCAAGTCCAGTGAGGAATCTGTTTGACCTTATGCTCTTGGATGAGTTTGACATCCAACAATATCCGGGTAATTGAAGTCCCCCATTACTACTATCTCCTTCCTTTTGCATGCTTGGCCATCTGTTCCAGGAAGGCATCATCTATGTCCTCTGTTTGGCTTGGGGATCTATAGTAAACTCCCACAATGAGGTCTCTGTTATTCTTCTCTCCCTTAATTTTGACCCAGATGCTCTCACTTTGGCTTTGAGGTTCTAAATCTTGGATCTCTTCACAGGTATACACATCCCTGACATATAACGCCACTCCTCCTCCTTTCTTGTCTGGTCTGTTTCTCTGAAATAGATTGTATCCCTCCATTATTACATTCCAATCGTGGGACTTATCCCACCAGGTTTCAGTGATGCCTATTATGTCATATTTAGTTTGCTGTACCAAGAGCTCAAGCTCATCTTGTTTATTTCCCATGCTTTGCGTATTAGTGTACAGACATTGAAGTCCATTAATCATTCCCCCGTGTCTCTTATTTAAGGATTTTTTCCTCCCACCACTAGGTCTGTGTGCTGCAACTGTACACACTTACCTGTGTGTGCACAGTTCACATATGTTCACATTAGAGTTGGACTTAAATTATTTATGTAATTATTCATTGCATTTATATCTCACCTTTTCACTAAGGAGTTCAAGGTGGCATTCTTGGTCCATTCATCCCCATTTAATCCCCACATCAATCCTGTGGGGTAGGTTAGGCTGAGAAGCTGTGACTGGCCCAAGGTCACCCCGTGAGCTTCATGGCTGAGAGGGGGATTTGAACCCTAGTCCCCCCCAGGTCATAGTCCAACACTCTATAACTGTTACTCTACACTGGCTATGCATAGGTTTGCACTGTTAAAAGGCAATTTTGCAAGTTAGCAGAAAACGGGAAATAATACTTGGGGCCATATGTATTTGAGGCGGTTGCTGATGACCCATTCTCCCAGAAGACTTAAATGGAGGCTTAAAATCCATTGTCTATGACCAAGAGGACATAAACATGTTAGGAGGGCCTTGCTGGAACAGAACAAAGGCCTGTCTAATCCAGCATCCTCTCTCCTGCAATGGCCAACCCCATGCTTTTGTGAACCAGGGCATGAAGGCAGCAGCCCTCCTCTACTCTTGTACCATATGGCCACCGTGGCTAGAAACAATCCCAGTGAGTAGATTGCTTTCCCTACAGGAAAACAGGGCATTTACTGAAGAGGCAGAATTCCCATATTTAAGATATTCTGCGCTTATCGCCGTCTTTGGGTTATAAAATAGCTAAGAGAAGGTACCTCATTAAACATGTAAGCTTCTTTGAGTTACCAAGAAGACTCTCAGGGAGAATGAGCAACCTAATCACAAAATCTTTACCACTTCATAAACATACAGAACAGGATGACCCACAGGGGATTATAAAATGTTGCAATAACTTAATAATGCTGTTTGCCCATACATTCACACAAAGAGAGTGATAGCATCAGAGGCAACCTTAAGTCCCCCCCCTCCCCCAATCAGAGACCAGGAAGCAGTTTTGTTGTTGTCTAGTCTAATGGAATGTTGTACAGGGTGGGATTCTAGGAGACTCAAGGACATTTTCACTCTGGGTGGGTGGGTGGGTGGGTAGGTAGTTCAGTGGATAGGTTTTGCTTCACTTTCTACCAGATTGCCATCTTTTGGCTTGGGAAAGCGGTCCTTGCCAGCAACCGTGGCTTTTATCATTTATTTACTTGTAACTTAACTTGCTTTTACAGCATTTGCCTTATTAGTTCACTTGCCTAAGGCATGTATCTCTGGTCTGATTCATCTTGTTCATTCCTGCTTTCTGAAGCATAGCATTCATGAATTTCATTGAGTTTGAAGCATTCATCTCAAGTTGTTATGCTAGAATGCCTTTTCCGTGGATCACATACAGGGCCAGGTTACCTTTAATGAAACGCAATTCTCTTTACAGCCCAAGACGTAGTGAAACAGACCATCCCTTTGCAGGCGCTGCATTGCAAAACATAGGGAGGTACTGAACTATGTTTTATTCAGAAGAGACCCATGCAAATTAATGAATATGGCTAATGTCCATCAACTTCAAAAGGTCTACTCTGAGTAAAACTTGATTGAATATCACCCACAGTATTCTACTGGCTTCACAATAGTATTATGTTGCTGGCACATGCTGGTATGCTTGTCCTTATATTTGCTGTCATGTTACCTGTTCCTTAATGAAAACAGTAAACTAGCCCCAAAACATTTTCATGCATCAAAACATTTTGACATACAATTAATTATCCTGAAGGAGGCTATACACCCGATTGCAAAGCCTTTCTCTTTAAACCATACTTTATGTGGTACAGTACTTTTTTCTAATTACCCAGGACACCCTTTAAGGATATTGTTGAAGTTTTCATTATAAATGAAGATCAATAGGGAGATATCATGTTAGGAGAAATTATAGCTTCTGATTTACAGTCTTGTTACTTCTGATTTGCCTGCCAGTTTAAATAGTTAATCCCCATTCCGTCCATATTAATAAACATTCTACTGATGTGAATAAAGATTTGCTTCCATATAAAAGCATTCTGGATCACCTGAAATTAACAGATTTTTTTCATTCTAGACTAATTCTCTATAACTTGAAGGGTAGCAAACTCTTTCACAAACATGTTTGGCTAAAAAAAGTTTATTTTTAAATAATTGGCTCTGGAGTTCTAAAATCACAGCAGGCAACTCTCTCCTCCCCTAAATTCTCAAGCCAATTGAGTGAGAGCAGTGCTTCCTGAAAAGGCATACACTTGAAGGAATCAGAAAATTACCAAACATCATTTTCTGACAGTTGAAAAGATTCATGCAAAGCAATTAGTACTTTCAGCACAGCCCTAAGTAGGTCTGTATTAAGTTCTACCATATTATCTTCAGCTTTAAAATCTCTCTGCTTTTGCAAATGCTAGGTCATAATTTGATGTAGTGATCTCCAACATTTTGCTCCATAATTCCATCAAGATTTGACTAACTCAGACTGCTTACAGCTTTAAAGTTTAACTGACCCCTTTAGATAGCATATGGCTGCAGTTTGCCTCAAAGCTTTTTTGTGTGCTAAATTGAATGTAGGGTATTGTATTAATGCACTTATAATTATGTTTTATAGTCCTAGAATATAACAAATGTGTGTTTTATTTAAGACTCTTGGCCACAAGAGAGCAGTTAGCTTTTCATCCTTTCTAATAAAGATCATGTATGGGGTTTTTGGAAAACGTTCAGACAAGATAATCATTGGTGGATTGATGGTATGTTGATGGGAAGCAGGCATCTTTAAGTATTAATTTTTGTAGCTCAGTCATGCACCTTTATTTCTGTCTCTTATACTATATGAAAAAAACAGGAAGGAACATGACCTGCAAATGGCATGTTATCACAACCTCTGGGCTATGCTATAGAGCACATCACGATTTAATAAACTCTTGGAATGTTTTCCTGCAGCTTTTTCAAGACTTATTACATATTTAACTGGAGCAGTTGATGTAGTTGAAGACTTCATCAACTTGCTTGCAAGTTAGAAACATGACCTTCAGTAAGGTGTAGGTTTTACTTATTTGTGCATGTAGCTGCAGGCTGGGTGAGTTCCCAAATGGAATTTGAAACATGAGGGTTATTTTTATAGTTGAAAAGATCATATTGTGCAGTGACAGAAATGTGGATTATAAGCCGCAATTGAAATGAGAGTTAAAGTATGAAATGGGAAGAACACCACTCTTTCGCACTTCCTCCTTCAGCTCTATAGACTTTTCAGTGCTAAGCTAGGTGGGAGCAAGTATGTGATTCAACAGCTTGCTCTTGACTGCCTAATCATGGTGACATTAGCACCATATCCTGCAGCTGTGTAGTGAGGGAAGTAAATCCTGCAGCACAACCCATTAATCTGCCATTCTCTAAATGAATGGTTATAATAAAAAAATACTTGCATGAAAACATTCTGTGATGGTAAAAAATGCCTTTAGGATGTTGTGACATGCAAGATCCCCATCCTGTCTGTGTCCATATCTACACCTAGTTTCATGCAATACAACAGTTTTGTGTGATATCACTGTGGTGCATCTGGAGACTCTGGCTGTTGACGGTGCACCAAACTGACTCAGCTTGCAACACATTCATATTTTACACTAGTGAAACAGGTGTTGTCTCACATTAATCAAAGGATCAAGCCAAAAGCTCTTCCCTTTAAATCATTCTGAGGGCTTGGTTGCAATCAAGATCCCTCATGGGAATGCGTTTGTCTGGAATCAGTTGGATGAAGTCACAAATGCCAGGACTTCAGAAGTGATCCACTGCTAATGGAATGCAATAGAAAGGTACTCCCTTCTTCTTCTTCTTCTTCTTCTTCTTCTTCTTCTTCTTCTTCTTCTTCTTCTTCGCAACTGGAGTATGGAGCTGATCAGTTCCTTTCTTTCCAGTCAGTGCATATAGCAGCAAACCTGTGGTCCTATTGTTAGTCAAGAAAAAGGAGGCTAACACAGAAGAGAAGGAGGTGGCACTCCTACCCCCTTTCAATGCCTTTTAATAACAGTTAATCTACAGTCTCTCACATTAAGTGAGAAGCACCACATTAGGGATGGGAGGGTGTTTCCCCATAAATCAATGTCAATTTATAAGAAGGGCCCAGCTTCAAAAAATGTGTATCCAGAGTGATAACACGACTCAACCAATGCCCTATGTTAACTGAGCATGCATACACCTCCCCAAGAATCTTCTGCAATGCTTGTTTGAGTGTAGATCTGCTGAGGCTCCTCACAGGGAAGTCAATATTGAAAGGGGTTCCTGCAAACTAGTTAGCTGAAAACCACTGCACCAGAAGATCAGAAAAATCCTCTTTTAGAGGCTCAGAGAGGGAAAGAGAAATCTGAAATAGTAGGGAAAACATCTATATTCTTTCACACTTTGGTAAGGTCTGTTTGGAAATAATTCAGATCCTGGGCATGTAAAGAATGGTTCCATTGAAACCTTTCAAGCTGAAACTTCAAATCCTCAGATGAAAGACTTATAATAGACTATAATAAAAACCAACATGTTTTATTAATTCAGCCTATATTCCCAATATGTTTTAAATGTGTTTTGTGTGGTGGATTATAGCTAAGGGAGTGGTTTCCTTTTTTTGGGGGGGGATGTTAAGTTCAAATGTTGTTGCCAAAATACTTCTTCACTGTATGTAGAATAATCGGACTTGAAGGTTAACTCCTTTTCAGATCTAGTTTAGAGGGAATTAGGGTACAGCTTGAAGTTTGGTAACTTGATTTAAAAGCTACAGGACCATTTTCATTACATGTTTTTCTTTTAGTGTAGCATATAACCTGCAAACAATTATAGGAATAATCTAGTCCCTTTGTGGCAGAGCATGAATTTTGCTTGGTAGGAAGAAAAGAGATGCATTTTCCCATTAATTATTTGAGAGACACTGTTTGAGTTCTAGCTTGTTAGCATGTACAATCCTGTGCATACTTACCTAGGAGTAAGCTTCACTGCATAGAATCAGACTTGCTTCCAGTTAAATCTACATAGGATTGTGCTTCACATCACCTAAAGAATAATGTATTAAATATCTATTCTGTTTTAGAAAAATAAATTCTGAATGAATTGACTAGCATACTAACCCAGCTAGCTTCAAACAGGATTTAAAATAAAACCAAATAAGTGCATTAAAATGTATATATGAATTTGTTCTTTATAAATGCCAAGTAAGGTTTATTATAAATCATTACTAAATGTGCTGAAAACAGGCTCCTTAAAATTCTGTCAATACCCAACATGCTTTGAGAGACAATCTGGTTTTTGTTTTGTTTTGTTTTGTTTCTGGTGGTCTGCTGCAGGCTTACCTTTCTGGCTTTTATGAAAAGAAAACGCCAACAGTAATTCTAACCAGTCATCTCTGTAAATCGACTCCAGTCTCTGTTCCTCATTAAGTGATTCAAAGCGCTCCGGAGCCTGTGTGCAATTTTTGGGGTGCCAGTTTCCTTGTTTCCACTTGGATTCTGTGGAAACTTGGGCAAGCCAATGACTCTGCGAAGTCACAATCCAGGAGAGATATTACTCATTTTAATAGCATAGCACTCAGTGCTATTTAACAACAGTACTTAGAGGAAAAATCAAAGCATGAATCATAAATCCCTGACAGTTTATGGACAAATAGCAGCAGAATTACAGATGATGGTAATTTGTTTTAAATATACAAACAAAGCAATGAAAAATGGCATGTTGTGTGTGCATCTCGCCTACCTCTGAGCCTGTATTTTGACATCTGGGAAGATGTTCTGGAAAACAGGACATGTCTCTGCTGTGATTTTGTTTTTGGCAGACTGTTGCAGGCTTACCTTTTCCAGGTGCAACCTTATATGTACCTAGATGGAAACTAAAACATAGTGACACTTATAACATGTAAACTGTGGTTTTTCTTTAATCCCCCAAAAGAAACAATGATGGATATAATGAAATGCACCTGCAGTTCTCAAGCCAATTGTTCTTCGGTACCTTTTGCACTGTTTATAAAAGTTTCTTAAGATTAGAAAAGCTGAGATGTTGCCATTTTGTTTAAAAAAAGACTTAAGGGTAATATAACATTTTTTAAGCTGATGCTTTAGTTTCATAACAAACTTTCTGAAGAATGACAGGGTTTATTCTTTTCCTCCCCTCGCATACAGGCTTGGCAACTAAGATTCAACCATCTTGTGGGCTATGGGGCCAAGTATTATTCCTACCTCATGTCCAGGGCTGTCGCATCCATGGTTTGGAAACAATGTTTCGTACAGGATCCCTTCGACAGGTACAAAATAAATAAATAAAGGCATGTTGCTGTGCAGTTTCCATCTTTAACATGGTTCTTTTACTTACGATAGCATTTTTGAAATTCAGGGGTAAAACACAGCAAAGCAAAGATAATTTCTTCTCGGTAGAAGTCAGATGTGGAGAGATGAGAGGAGTGGTTTGTTTTAAAGAATTGCAAATGCATTGGGTTCTCCAGCTTCCTGTCTGTGTTTATGAAGGACTGCGGGAAAAGCAGGCTGGAACCTCAGCCAGTGTATGCACACATTCAGGGCACAGCAGAGCAGGAGCATTTTCTGGATGACCAGGGAACCATACTTGCACTCTTGGTAGATGTCAGTTTAGACCTCTGGCATCAGGTTTGCTTCCCCATCAGAACCCTTTTGTACCTCTTGTTCTGACGTTTGCGGAGTATGATGGGGTGGGGGATAAAATGGAATGGGGGAGCACCAGAGAATAAATCTCCCTCCATTGTCCCTGATTCAGAACTGCTAATGACAATAGAGTGCTACGGATTGCCTTCCGCTAGAGCAGTGGTTCTCAACCTGTGGGTCCCCAGGTGTTATTGGACTACAACTCTCACCATCCCTGAGCTCTGGTCTTGCTGGCTAGGGGTGATGAGAGTTGTAGTTCAACAACATCTGCAGACCCACAGGTTGAGAAAGGCTGCACTAGAGGGTTGGGTAGTTGCCATTGTGAAATAAAACCATTTTCAGTACGCTTAATTGATTGCTTTCTGAACAGGCCTCCTGTGATTTTCTTTTTTCTTTTCTTTAACATTTTTTTACATTGTTTCATTCATTTACACAGTTTATCATTCTTTACAAGACATTCCACATTATACTACCTATCTGTATCTGTGTGTATTTATATATTTTCCTTATTCCTATCCTTGTGACTTCCCTCCACCCAAGCTTGGCTTCTTTTGTTTTTCATTACTTTTATATTGTGTTATACATATTGTTTACATATTCCCCAATAACCATCTTTCCATATTTTAACTTTAACTTTACGAACTTCCATCAATGCATATCAATATCTTTGTTTTGGAACAATGTTTTGCCATATATTCTTCTACACATTCCCATTCTTTCCTCAGTTTCTGATTGGATTGAAATCTAATAGCTGCCAACAATTTGGCCAATTCTGTATACTCACAGAGTTTGTTTTGCCACTCCCTTATTGAGGGGACCATGTCCCTTTTCCAATTTTTAGCAATCAATATTCTGGCGGCTGCTGTAGCACATAAAAACACCTTTTTCTTGTCATTAGGATGTCCATTGAGACTATACCTAATAGGAACGCTTCTGACTTTTTCTCGAATAGTGATTTAAACATCTTTTTTAATTCTTCGTGAATACTACTACAGAATTTTTTAATTTCCCTGCATCCCCGCCATACATTATACATCGTTCCTTCTCAGGCCTGTGCTTTTCGTAGGTGGCTGCCATTGCAGCACTACAGCCGCAAAAGCAGCACCTACTGAAAGGCTGCACGCCTCCATTACAGTCAGTTGTGAATACTGTAGGAAGTTTGTCCCGTGTGGAGATTGCCATTCTAACCCATGGACCTTTAGGGACTCTTAGGAAACAGGCTTGTTCCACTTCATTTAACAAAGACACATATTTTGCACAGCTAAACTCGCCACATCAGAACTCATCAGTGCACACTTGTTGAGGAGCCATCCCCAAATGGATGGGAAATGCCTCAAATCAATGAAGGTTTGAGGCAGGTAGAGAATTCTGCAGGGAGTTGAGAAGCTTGGAGGAAGTCTGAAGAGCATGTTCAAGGGGCCTCTCTTCCTGCTAGGAGCAGCATGTTTTCCAAGCTCCGAAGGCAGAGTGGGATTCTCTGACTTACCCTTGACATAGCATGGAAACCTGCACCTGCTTGGATGCCTATCTGCTTACAGAAATGCAGTTCCCATGTGGTGATGCACATGCCAATCATCCATTCCTTCTTAATCCCATTAACTCAACCTGGATTTTTCTAGGGGATAAGTTGCTGTCATTTAAAGAACTTCCTGTCAGTGAGTAACATCACAGTGTTTAAAATCAAAACCACATGACTATTAATGTTGGAACTGGTCCAGGTCCTTTCTCTGCTGCCTATTTTAGTGTGAATGATACGATTGTGTACTGAAACGTGAAATTTCAGCCTCTGAATTTCTTACAATTCTGTAAAGCAAAGATAACACAGACGTTTCACACTTTTCCAATTCAACAATGAAAGCTTACTGTTTGGTGTATGTGTTGCGAGTGGCAACACCAACAAAATGATATGAGATACAGATATGTAGATAGATATATTGCTTTGGTTACAGCTCCAATCTTTCAAGCTTAGCTTGCTCCAGTGTAACTTTATTTATAGTGTGCGTTTCTGAAATGGACATGTGAGTTTGAAGCGACAGGCTTCATTAGATCTTTATCTGCAAGGAATCCGGAGGCAGGTGTGACAGGAATCTGAGCTGGTTGTGATTGCAGGTGGCTGTAATAACAATACCATCTTTTCCTTCAGGGCAATGGGTGAACGTTACCGTAGAGAAATGCTAGCACATGGTGGAGGAAAAGAACCCATGCTCATGGTCCAAGGTAATATAAAATATTGTCACAGACTGGTTTCCCCCCCAGTACACTTATTTGGACAAAGACTACTGCTTGTACTTTAAAAACAAAAAAACAAAACCCTGCAAAGTAAACTTCTTTACCACTGTGCCCTTTTCACTGCTCTTTTAGATAGCATTTGCTAAAGGGCACACACGATACAGCCATCCACTTCTTCAAACTCTTCTTTGCTGAGGAATGAATGAGCTATCTGCTTTAGAGGAAGCTGAATATGGGGGCTGGCCCCTAACTGGTCCTCGATATTTTGATAGAGCAAATTAATACAATTTTGAGTAACGTCATGTTAGACGTTAAGTGAATATTCACTTCAATGTGATATATTATTTGCAGGTGTAATGGTAATTGCAGCCTTAGCTGTAAGTTGCTATAACACCAACTTAACGAAACAAGCTAACGGAACCAAAATCATCGTGAAGTAATGAAAGGAACAGGACAGCAACATTTTGCCATGGTTTTTACAGTATACCAATTGCTGGTGTTTGAAGGCTAGGAAAGGTGTGGTTAACCCATGTACTGTAATATGGAAGGTGCAGTACTTCAAAGGAGGCAAACTTCCATAGTTGCCCCAGGCTTGGAGGGACTGAGTTGAAAATTACAGTCAGACTTATGCCTAAAATAAATTCACAGGTTTTAAAAACAGCAGCTGCCTTTGTTAGATCTCTTGGAACTCAAGAGCCATGTATTCTGTATATATCACATACATTATAGTCCCTAAGGAACTATCGTCGTTACTATAGTCATTTGATCCTTGTGTTTTCAAAAACAGTGGGAATGTTGGCTTGGAGGGTGTGGATTTTTTTATGTGTCTGGTAAATCATGAATTTTGTAACATTAGCCTAAGTTTGTAAGACTGAAGAGAGTGTTTCGTAAATATGACTATAGTGCAGGCTGTTCATTGCTCTCAGTGTTTCTCTGTTGAGACAATGGAAGTGTTTGCCTTGGGCCATTTCATGTTTTGGAAAGGGTAATAGCCCCTGTGCAAAATGAGTATTGCCTGTAATTCCCCAAAGGGACTGTTGTTAAAACTATGTTATGCTATCAGCAGTTGGATAACTGGAGGCTGCAATTAAGATAAGATGGAGAAAATGTTTTGATTTAAGTATATCTGACAAGAGACTAATTCAGTTCAGTTATAGGGATTGTAAATGATTATGTTGATAAATTTATCACTGATATGAATAATATGACATACTACAGTATATACCTGCAATTAGCTATTTAACCTGGAACTCAGTATGATTTTTAAAGTTTTTAAAAATTTCATTCATTTTTTTTAAAAAACCAACAACTTCCCCCTCATTCGTCCCACACATACTACAGGGCTCAAGGCGTCCTCATTTTGGCTGTGTTTGTAAACTCTGTTACAGACTTTTACTTCCAGAGAGAAACAAGGAGCGATGACAGTGGTTTCAGGGGCAGGAGAGAAGTGGCTTATTGTGAGAAAGCGGGAAAATGGCTGTGGGCAGAACTAGTATTTGGAAACCTTACAAAACTGTTTTATCAGTGTCAAATGGAAATTTATTGTCCAGACCGCAAAAGTGTTACCAAAAGTGAAGGGGGTTCAAAGAGTCCATTCACTGCCATATAGCTGATGCAGGCAGCCGGCTTCTGTAAAAATCTCAAGAGACCATTCCCTCCCCATCTTTTTTATTGCAGTTCATTTGTGTTTCAGAAATACGGGCTCCCTTAATATTCCTCCTCAGATAACTAAATGCCTGTATTAAAGCATGCCATATTTTAATCGTTCTAGGTATTAACTTTGTTTTATTCTACCAAGAGGCAAGGTAGCAAGCATGGCCCATGTTCAGGGTGCTTCTTATACTGCCTTTGATGATGAAATATGATCTGACTAAATTTTAATTCTCCTTTTTCTTTTTCTGCACTATTCATCAACTTTCTTTAAGGGCATTCTTGTTCTTACTTGCAGTGTACATATTTAGGCTTAATTAAAATCACGATGCGCTGAGATCCTAGCAAGGAACTCTTAGAGTAACCGCTTCAAATTGCCTCAAGATCTGGACTCTTTCTTTCCCTGATTGGGTGTTTCTTTTTTGGGAACTGTAGCTGTACATCAAAAAATACCTAATCAACCAGTTGGCTCTTGTAGAAACTTAATAAAAGGTTCATGTGAAAGATTTCAGTTTTCCTAAATGCAGCAAGTATTGTTATTATTATTCCAATGGAAACCAAATAGACGGAGGCATGTTAGGAGTATAAAGTAATTGTACTACAATAAAAGGGTATGCAAGGTTATATTTACATTGGCACTTCTGAGAGTGATTTACCTAAAAGAAGAGCCAAGTTACACGGAGTGTTTTCTTTGTCCAGTGCAAAACAATACTGGAAATTTCCTAATTTGACACTTTAAAATGACATGAAAAACACACATCCATATGTTAAACTGCATATATTCAATTGTATATTTTTTTCCTATGGGAAAGAAAACATACACACACAAATTCATCAATGGCTGTTTAAAACCACAGAGGTAAGTACAACACATAGGTTATGCTTTTCTGACATACAGTGGTACCTGAAAGCGCCGTATCTGCGCAGGTGCACAGCGCAATTTGGCACTTGTGCGCATGCACGAAGCACGATTTAGTGCTACTGCGCATGCGCGAGTGGCGAAACCCAGAAGTAACTCTTTCCGGTACTTCCGGGTCGCTGTGGGACGCAACCTGAAAAAACGTAACATGAAGCAAATGTAACATGAGGTATGACTGTATGTATGTGTATTGTTTAGATATCCAGTAAATGTCCAGCAGATATGTATAAGTAGACATTTCCAAATAGAAACATTGTTCCTTTCATACTTAGGGGAGTGGTGAAGTGCTGATTGATCATGTGGTGTTTTCTAAACCAATTCCCATATAATCTGGATTCCATGTTTTTTGGCAGATGCTCTTGACAGCTATATTGGAGTGGTTCGACATGTCACAATTTCCTTCCACTTCAGGGCTGCCTTGCTTGTGAAATCCATTTTCCCCTGACCTGTGTTTCCACTCTCCCCCTTAGGTATGCTTCAGAAACGTCCATCAGTGGAAGACTTTGTGGATGCCCTTGTTTCAGACTTGGATCAGGATTTTGAAACGTTCTTCATGGATTCTGAATAGCAAGAGAAGAAAATTAAGCATTCCGGTGAAGAATTTTGAAAAAGGCGTGTACCATCAACAGTGTACACATAACTCTTGTGGGTTGCATTGCTGCATCCTCACAAGTGCTTGGGTAAAATAAATGGTTTACCTGAAGAGCAGGATGTTTTTTCATTACAGAAAGATCATCATAGCCAATCCTTTGAAACAGGTATGCTTTGCATTCCTGTTAACCTATTTGAAAACGTATTCTTATATGAACACGTGACAGCTGATAGGCCAGGGTTACCAATAGCAAGGGACAGCCTTATGTAGGTACTTAACGGCATGTGCTGTAATGGGCATGGCCAGTGGGTGCCCATGGAGAAGTGCCCAATGGGTACCATCCCACACCCTTCTGTGAGTTCACTGAATGCATTGGGAAGGGTACAAACCTCTTATGTGATTACACTGGAAGCCTCTTTTGTCTGTTTACCCATGATTTTAAACTAACATAAAGCAAGTAACATTTGCAAGTGGGAAGTGAAGAATTGCCAGCCAGTCAGAAGAAAAGAGGAACAAAAATGGCCTGACCTTTATGGAGAGGTTGATATGGCAAAAATCAGGAAGTGAATGTTTTCATAGCATAAGATAAGCATTATTTATTGCTGATGTCTGTGTATCAAACTTGCTGTTTAAACCTTGGAAGCAGGAGCCAGTAGGGAAAACTACAATAGACTCAAGATACCTCAGTCTTTGTTCCCAAAGAACTTGGGATTTTAAAATGCATAACAAATAAATAAAATGCACAGTAATTTAGGATACACTTTTCAGTTGTTATAGTGCTATCCTTAAACCATCTTTGCTTTGCTTTTTGTGTTTTTAATTTAAAAGTCAGACATTTAAGGACCATTGTGCCAGTACTAACTCCTGCAACTAAGATGTAATTTGACACATTAATGTTTTGCATTTTGTTTGGCTCTAACCACACGAGTGTGGAAAAATCAGATTGCATCATCCTGTAGGCATTACATTTTTATGAACAGTAAAATTCACTCTAAACTAATTGCCCTGGATTAAGATGCCAATAAAGAATTGTTACAATAAAGATAAAGAAAAGGAATATTACTTACTGGAATATTAACCCAGGGCTTTTCCTTGCTCTTGGAGAAGTTACTTTCTGTAATTCTCTATTGGAAGAAGGAAAGTTTATCGAGGTTAACAGTTATTAAAAGAGCCGATATACTAGGGCCTGGTTTGCACATCATAATAAACCATGGTTATCTAAATACCAATTGATCAAACCATTGTGTAGTGTTGTGTGAACCCTTACAAGTAGCTTGATTCTGGTTTGTTTACTTCCAACAAATCACAGCCTGAAGCTGTGGTTTGCTGCTGACTTACAATTTGTGGTTTCAGTTGCCTTGGCATCACATGTTTTGCTTGACCACCTCACCCCATAGGCTCTCTAAACTACAA